TCCTCCACCCTCAATCTCCTACCTACCCCGACTTCCTCCACCCCTACCTCCTACCTACCCCCACCTCCTCCACCCTCAATATCCCACCTGCCCCCACCTCCTCCACCCTCGACCTCCTACCTACCCCCACCTCCTCCACCCTCAATCTCCCACCTACCCCCCCCCACCCTCAACCCACATGGGCTGTGTGTCTGTCTCACAGATAATTGTAACCAGAAAAATGAAAGGACTAGGGTTGGGTGGAGAATAGTAGAAAGTCCCATTGATTAAGGGCGAGTGGGATATCTCTAGCCAACTCTATCTCTGCCTTCCTTGAGTGGTTTTGTTTATAGGTATGAGGTTGGTTTTTCCTACATTTTTACTTCTTTCTCTCTGTTATAAACCTAATGCTTTGGCCCAGATCTTATGATGACTGACAAACAGAATTCCTTAAACAGAGACCAGGCTTGGAATCCGACAGGCTGTCTGCCACTGATCTGGTAGTTTTCAAAGCTCCCGCTTGGCCCCTGAGTCCTCTGCCCCGGAATTTGGGAGCCAGAAAACGTAAATACTGTGTTTCCCTCGCTTTAAAAGAAAATAAGAGGAAAGGGAGCTGGGCTCTCGTGACTTTCAAATATCCACAGAGTGAGGGTGACAGGTCCTCCCACATGTGAGGGCAGGAGGGCACAACCTTCCCTCACTTATGAGCGGAATGGCACCTTTCCCAGTTTGCACACACCCCAAATAATCGCGGCTTCTAGAGCTGGTCCCAGGGAGGCCAGTAGAGAAGTGTTCTCTTGCATCAGGATTGTCTACCCCTAGTGGGACAGATGGAAATAATTTTCTGACTTAAGGCCAGTCATTAGGGTCCCCCAGACCAATGACACTGTTATCTCAGGCATTTCTGTCTAGCCAATAGAACCCAGATGGAGATAAATTTAAGTCAAACCCGCAGCCCATGTCAGTGGCATTCCAAAGCCCTCCCTAAGACTTCCGGATATTTCTGAGGGTCTTACATGCTCTAGGTCACCTCTGCCTCTGGGCCCCCATGTCCAAAGGTACTTTGTCCTCAGCTTATTGACCTAGACAGAATACCCAGACTCATCCTCAGTTTTCACCAAAAGCTCCCTCTCAAGGGCCTTCATGAGAGTAAAACACTTTACCAGAGAGTTGGTGGTCATAGGGGTGAGACTATATGCCACAGAACACACTCATTAAAATATACTTACATTCCTTCTTTTAAAAATCCTGCCAGCTGTTCGCCCCTCACTGGCATTTCTCCCCATTCAGCACTCCGCTTCCACGTTCTCTGTTTCGCTCTCCCTTTCTGCCCCACGCCTCTCCGGAATGGAGGTCAAAAACTCAGATGCCAGCAGGGACTAACCAGTGACATATGCGTGGTTGAAAAGGTGGGGTTTCAGGCCATAGAGAGGATCCAGCCTGCCAGGTTCAAACCATTTTTAGGCACTGGGTCCCACTAAATACTTCCGCAGGCCTTGCCACCCACAGGCTGTCAGTTTCCAGACCTTCGGCACTACAGTCTCCCTCTTTGCCACAGCCACTCAAGATAGAGCAACAGTGCCACCAAAACCAGAGGCAGCAAGGCCTCTCCCCGCCATGTGTGTCCTGAAGCCGTGCCAAGGTTAGATGCGTGTCAGCATAATCAATCCTTCCGACAGACAGGATGCGTGAGCTTAAAGCAGCCAGGTGCTGGGGAGCCCGAGCTCAGGAACGAGACAGTGTGGGCTTGCCCAGGCTCCACTACTCTGCCTGCGTATTCCATTACTATTGAGGCAAAATAAAAATAACATAAAATTTACTATTTTAATCACTTTTAAGCGTACAGTTCAGTGGCTTACACAACCATGACCACCATCCATCTCCAGAACTGTTTCATCATCCCAGACTGAAACTCTGTCCCCAGCAAACACTAACTCCCTGAGCCCCCCTCCCCCAGCCCCTTGTAACCACTGTTCTACTGTCCGTCTCTGTGAATTTGACGACTCTAGGGACCTCAGACAAGCGGAATCATACAGCATTTGTCTTTTCGTGTCTGGCTTCTTTCCCTGAGCATCACGTCCTCAAGGTCCATCCATGTTGCAGCATGTGTCCGAACTTCATTCCTTTTGAAGGCTGAATAATGTTGCATTGTATGTATATGCCACATCTTGTTTATCCATTGATGGACATTGGACATTTGGGTCGTTTCTACCTTTTCGCTATTGGGAATAATGCTGAAATGGACATTGATATATGAACATTTGTTTGACTCCCTGCTTTCACTTCTTTCACGTATATACGCAGAAGTGGAATTGCTGGATCAAATGTTTAATTTTTTGAGGAACTACGCCTGTGCATCCTTGAACAGGTCTCAGAACCTCTTAAACCTCACCTGTAAAACAAGAATAATAATAACAAGCCCTCCTTGTTAGGGTGGTCTCAGAATGAACGCATGTGAAGCATTTGACTCAAAGACTGGCCACATCATAAACGTTCATAGGTGTTTAATCTCATCGTCCTCTGAAATCGAGGTCCTCAAACTAAAAGAGCCCTAAAGTCACCCCTAGCTCCCCAAACCCATGATGCCACCATTAAGTCCTTTTCCTGTCGGAGCAGCCAGAAGCTCTCAGAACACATATCAAGGAAACACCCTCTTCATGGTCCCCACAAAAACCCACCCCTGCCAAGAAGGCCAATTTTCATAGCTGTCTCCTTGGAATTTGCTAACGCATCCCATTATAAACCAACATCTCATTTTTCTTGCCACTCCTTCCTCCTCGCTTTCTTCCCACATTCCCTTTCTGAGCTGGCTGCTCCTGCCCACGGAATATCTGTGCTTCAAATCATCTTCCCCAGTTCATTTTATGTTTGTTCCACCAGCTAACGTCTGTTGGAAGCAACACATGTGAAGTTATCCATATTAAGGTTCCCTTCCCAGGAGTCACATAATTTAAACGAGTTTTTCCTCTTCGACAGAATCCTGCTGGCAGGGCTACTGCGCTCTGGTGAAGTCAGCGGAGCTGGGCTCTCCCTCACAAGCTGTTTGTGCTGGGGTATCACTTGGCCTCGTGTCTACATTCTCATCCCCACACGGATCCCGTGCCGACGCACAACAGCAATCTCCCGTGCCACCCCAGTGGATGTTTACGTCTCATCAAATACTTGTTCTGGGAACGTAAATAGAGGAAATATGCTTCCAGGCTTTTCTTGACGGAGCCAGATCCAGAATTCCAGCAGGGAGTGGACTCGCTCACGACTTGAAGGAATATTTTCCTTCTCCACTCCATTCCTCCGTCTTCCCTCTAAGTATGCATGCTCAGCCACTGACATATCCTCGCAGACGCACGAAGCTGCTCCCTGGTTCAGTCAGCAGCTGGGCTGCCAAGAAGCCACACACCCTCCCTGAGGCTTTTCCCCAGCAAAAGGTAAAAGAGATTCTCGGGTCAGGAACAAAGGGGTTTTCAGATCCTGGGCAAGAAAAAGGGGGGTCAGCTGAGCTTTGGTTTAAACTTTTATGGGTTTGAGGTGTCTCACCTGCCACGTTACTTAAAAAAACCAAGAGGGGAGCATCCACACAGCCACGAATAACCAAGTCAGTCCTCTGAGCCCTGGTGCAAGGGAGAAAGCTCGCTCCTCTGGACCCAGGCTGGACCCCAGGCCCAGAGGCTCTACTCCAGAAGGCAGAGACGGAGCAGGATAGAATCTTAATGCAAAGTCGTCCACGCGCCCCCAGGCAGGCGTCTGGGGTTCTGCACCATCAAGACCCTCATGGGCTCCTTCTTCCTTCATTATTATCTCTGGGCTGCTCCAGATGAGACAAAAGTCAAATGAAACACTCTCGCCAGCTTGCAAGTGAAACACCAAGGAAGATCTCACCTGGGGCAGGCAGCGATAGGCAGATGGAAAGTACAGACCAAAACGGGGGCTTTCGTGTGTCCCAGCTCCTCACTGGGCACAGAGGGATGTGCCTGACGGTCAGGCGCCCCTTCTGCACTGTTGCCCTTGCCAGCCCCCTCACCCTGTTTCATTCTCTGACACTTGCCGCTATTTGCAGCAGCGGGCACCCACCTCTCAGACAGAGACAGGTGACGGGTGACTAGCCCAGAAGGGGAGCAGCAAAGGTTCCCACGCCCCTGCTCCTGCACAGAGCTGTCCTGCTGTGTCATATCCACACAGGTCAGCCAGTCCTCACCTCACAAGGTCTCACCTGAGCGCCTGACACCTCGGCCCTCGCCATATAAGGACAGATGCCCCTAAGAAGTCCCCACTTCCCTGGCTTCTGCCCTCAGCTGGGTCAAGAGACTCCCAGGAGCTCCTTGTCTCCTTCCAGCCTCTCTTGCCCAGGAAGCCCAATTGACTTGGGGTTTGTGGCTCAGAAAATGACATGTGACAACACAGAAGCCAGAACTCTTTCTAAACAAACTCACTGTGCATCCCCCGAAACAACTTGTACTTTTCACCTCAGCTTTTTCTTCTTTTTCATCCTTGTCAGGAAGGAAGTGTACACACATTGAGTGGGTACATCTCCTAGGCTGGGCTCTGTGCTGATGGGATGTGATCGTAAGATTTCATCAAGCCAGACTCCCAGGAGGAGCCCCCTGCCCCAGCCCTGCCCCTTCCAGCTCACCTCTGCGGGGCTCTTGCTGGGGAAACGGCTGTTCAAGTTGAATGGGGAACTCAGACTGGATGTGGGGGTGTGGGGGGGGGGGCGGGGCGCGGTTCATGCTTTAAAGAGAGGGAATTAAAAGGAGCAAATAACAGTGGAGCTGGTACCCCTTCTTGAGGCAGTTCAGTCCCACAAGTTGGGATGACAAAACGGTGTCTCATTCTCAGGAGGGCGGCGAGCGCTCCAGCACCACCAGCCAAGCCCCTAAGACTGTGACTAGAAAGAGGCACCCGCCCCCCCCCCCCCACCGCGCACCCACCAGCACTATCTCTTGGGACCCCCGTCCGGTTGCCTCCCAGATCCAGGAGGGAACGCCCCCCCCCCCCCAGGGGGCCCTGAACGCTACTCACAGTACCTCTGGGCAAGGACGAGATGAGCAGGAGCTGCAGGAAAGCCAGCCCCAACTGCGGCCACCAGCCCAGCTCCATCGTCCCCGCGGCGGTGCCCGAGTGACTTCGGGGAGGGACCGGGGAGGCCGGTGGGCAGGCGGCTCTTACAGGGACCTCCCTGAGCCCCAGCTGAGCGGGAGCTCGGGTTTCAGCTCGCCAGGCTCTCCCATCCTCATCCAAGGGGAACCACCTTCAGCCGGAGCGACGTCAGCCCGAACCTCTCCTCTCCGCCTTAACCCTTTCGCGGCCGGGAGGTGTGGCTACGCAGGGAGGGTCAGCTATGGCTGGAAGAGACGCTGTGGCTGGAAGGGAGGCTGCGGGGCGCGCAGGCCGACCCAGGTCAGGCTGGGTGCCCTCAGCAGCGTTGGGGGAGGGCATCAGCTGGCAGCACCCTGAATGGGGGCAGAGGTAGGCCGGGCTGTGGGACCGCTCAGGTGAAGCCTGAAGCCCCACTCCCATCCCCCATCTCCATTAGGAGACTGCAATGGGAGCTCCCCTGCCTGATTAAGAGCGTGGCCTTTCCGGGTTGGGGCACCAGAGATGGGATGGGAAAGCCAGCCAACCTTCCTTCCTCCTCCCCATCCCCAAGCTCTCCTCCCCTCTCAGCCTTTGCTCCCGGTGACCACAGTTTGGAAACCTTATCCTTTGCATCTGTAGGCTGCTGGAATAATGTTTCATCGTCCACGACGCCCATCATGGTAAGCTCAGCAGAATAAACTGCTCCTGCCCACACGCCAGGCAGGGCATTAGGCTCAAGGACAAAACATTCTACTGGACGCTGCCTCCACCGTGAGGGTGTCCAGTCTAGGTACGGAGAGAGCGACTGACATCTTGATTGAGGAGGAAGGATGCTTCACAACAGAATAGCTGACATTGTCACTTTCTCTGTGCCAGGCATCTAGGTACCTTTCATGTATTAACTCACAAGAAACCTATCATCTCCATCTTACAGATGGGGAAACTGAGTCATTGAGAGTTCAATAGCTCATCCAAGGTCACGCAGTGAGTAGGTGGCAGAGCCAGGGTTCAAACCCAGGCAGCTTGAGTCCAGAGGTTTTGGTCCCAGCCACCAGGCCATAGTACTTCTTAGGACGCAGTGTATACAGCATTTTATTTAACCATCATAGTCACCATGTACGGTAGATGGTACTGTCCACATAGCATGGATGCAGAAACCAAGACTCGGAGATTAAGTGAGTTGCTCAAGGACACTCAGCTGCAAAAGGCAGAGCAGGACTCATGCCCAGGGTAGGGGGGCTTTCTGAATCCAGTGCCACTGGGAAATGAATATTTATATGTTTACATTATCATTTTATACTTTTTCTTTTTCCCAAAGAATCCACGGCAATGTATATCATTAAAATGCATTTTAAACAGTTTTGATAAACATATATCTCCATCAGAACAAAAGCCAGCTGGAGAGGATAGACAACATGTGTGGTTTGGACGTAGCGGAGAGCAGGAAGAGAGGAAGTGTGTGCTCAGAGCATTCTGAAGGTCATGGGAGGCTCCGACAGTTGAGGAGCAGGGGGTGCTGGGCCCGAAGCAAAGTCCTAGGGAGCAGAGTCACCCTGGTCTCCAGAAAGAGGGTGAGGAGGCCAAGGCTGGCACAGAGACATCACCTGGACTGCTGACAGGGGCTGGAGTAAGCCGTAAACAACAGAAGTGGAAAGGAAAACGTGATGGGAGAAACGTGGGGAGGGAGAATCCCCAGGACTCAGCGTGACAGGATGGCCAGGAGCCCCATACAGATGCTCCTCTCAGGGAGAAAGCCCTCCGTCTCAGCCCACTGCAGCGGAGAGACCGGGAGCAAGAACTCGGCAGTCAGGGATCTGGGTCCAAATCCTTGATTCACCACTTTCCGACATATGACCTGCAACAAGCTAACTCTGAATGTCAGTGATCTCATCTGTAAAACGGGCATAATAATCAGACCTACTCTGTAGACTGCTGGGAGACCCTTTGTGTACTGGAGGCCCTTCGCACGGGGCCCCGGCTCCTACTCAGTGCTCAGTAAATAGTAATCGTCATCTCTATTATCCGTCTGAGAATAACCCCAAGGAAATGCCATGGTATGGGCCTTCTCCCTCACCCTCCACTTCTCTATCCAGGTGAAATTTGTTTACAACAAGCACCAAGAGTAGCCTTCAAAGGGGAGAAAATACCAAAGGGCAGCATATTTAAGGGTGGAAGGCGGAGACACACGCAACCTCCCTGAGCTCACACCCAGCAGCCTCCTCCCTGCAGCAATGGAAGCCCGTCAGGGTGGGGCCCCGGCCTGCTGCTCCCTCCGCAGGGCCCTGGTGCCAGGCCTGTGTCCTCCAGGCTCAGGGGTGTGGACACAGGCCCTCACTTCCATCTCGCAGGAATGTCCACAGGAGCAATTGGTCCCTGCTAATCTGTTGTCACTAATTTGCAAATTTCCTAGGGCTGCAGAACCTGGAAAGGAATTCTCAAAAAGGCGTGGGACACGTTTCTCTGGGGAACTCAAGCCGTGATGGATCGGATAGCACCTTGCTGAACTTCACAATAAACCTGGGCTGTGGAGCAGGGAGCTAGGGCCACGGTCAGAGAAGGTCAGTAGTTTGCCTGAGGCGCACAGCCCTACACAAGTTTCCGCTTTTCTACGCAGATTTAGCTTCCTCTCTTCTCATTATGATCAACTCAATTTTTCATATTGATAGAATTTAGTATTGTTCTAAATCAGAGGTTCTTGACTTGCGTTCCATAGGGTCTATTGGGAGGGGCGTTTTAGAGAGCCTTTGAACTTCTCTAAATTATATGCACAATTTTGCATGCATCGTAGCCTTCTTCAACGTCTCAAGGGGATCTGCGAACTCCCAACGTTCTTAGAATCACTGATCTTCGTAAGTTGACCTTGAAAACTTGACGAAATATCTGCTGGATTTGGGGAAAGTGGGTCTAGACTCTATACTGCATGGTGGATATTTAGAGGACCCTCCCTCCCTCCTTCTTTTTTTTTTTTAATTTCTACTTCAAGAGCACTTGCTCTGGACCACACTGCCTCCTGTTGAATCCAGCTGGACCACTTGCTACCTGTGTACACCTGGGCAGGTGATTTCACCTAGGATGGCCTTAGTTTCCTCATCTGTTAAGTGGGAAGAATAATGGTACCTGCCCCCAGAGGGTTGAAGTAAAGAGCTCGGATCAGTGTCTAAAATAAACTAAGCACTCAGCAAGCATTAGCTATTTTTATTCTGGTTATCTCCCCTCCTGCCCTTGCCTGCTATGCCCACTTCTGAAAGAAATAAAAGCACTAGAAAGGCTGCGGATGAAAAAAGCAAAGCGCCATGCTGGGAAGTAGGGAATGATACCTGGAATTAAGACCGATCTACTTACAATCGGAAATCAACAACTGGCTGACTAGATGGAGTCAGGCCATCCACTTAATTATAAGCCACAATACCCACTAATTTTCACATGAAAGGATGAGGCGCTCTAACAAAACCTGTGCCTTTTTCAGTGCACAGGGGAGGCTGGCTGCAGGGGCATACACAGGAAGAACCGTGGAGAAGGCTGTCTGGTGAATGCCAACAGCTCCTCAATCTCAAAACTGTAACAAGCGTGGGGGCGGGGGGTCGGCGGGGGGAGCCAGAGGAAAGAGGAGAGCCGGAGGAGCTGCTCTGTAAACCTGCGAGAGGCGTCCCAGACTGCTGCGGTTAAGTGTGGTTTTCATCAGCTATACAAAACACACAGCTCAAGCCAACCAGGGCCACAGAAGGAGAAGACACAGGGCCCTCCCAGCAGAGCTGCCATGACTCCCCACCACGGGAGTTCCAGCCCTAAGGAATCCAGGCCGGTCACCTGCACAGCGAGAACCACGTTCTGCCTCCGGGTCTGGCTCAGCTCCACTCCCTTTCCACTGGGAGCCAGGCAAGGCGGTGGGTGGGTGCGTCTGTGGTTCTTTGGCCACATTCCTCTTGCTTTATGTCATTCTTCATGCCAATTGCGGAGAGCCCCTGAGCTTCCCTCCTTCATACTCAACGTGCTCCAAATCACCTGGGGAAGCCTGTCCTTGACTTCCATCGTATATTTATAAACTTCTATTTAAAACACACCGTCTGCGATGCAACTGAACTACAGAGCTTTACGAAGAACACTGGCAAACGTTTTGCCCACAATCCAAGTGGCTAGCTCAAGAATTCATGCAATTGAGCCATTTTGGGCGGGAGGAAACAAAAAGTAGAATATCTCCCAGAGAAGACAACAGGGTACCATGGCACAAAAAAAGTACTGTGGTCAACAGAGCCCAGTACGGATCGCGGCTCTCCCACTCCTAGCTGTGTGAACCTGGGCAAGTTCATTGGCCTCTCTGAGCCTCAGTTTCCTCAGCTGTAAAAAGGAGGTAATAGCTACCTGATAATTTTGGTGAGAAGATTAAAATGAGGCTGGCATATATAACGGTAGCTCAATCAGTGTTGACTATTATTATAAGTCTATGAACACCCAATCTTAGAGTTTTCAGGAAATCCCACCTTTAGGTATTTAACTGAAATTCAAGTAGATGGGTACCATTTTCCTGAGGTCTGGTGATGTAAGCTAGGTTATGTGCCTGCATTGATTTGAAGCCAAGGCACATCTGAAACATACATCGCCTCATACATTTGCGGTTCTTGTTGGAGACGTAGGGATGGAGGCGCATTTGTCTGAAGACAAATTGAGAGGCCCGTCCTGAGCGGACCCTGTCCAGGTGTTGAAGAAAACATTCTTCTGATGCTTGTTGAAGACAGTAAGGAAGACGTTATTCCAGGGGCTACAGCAGTGGAGTCCAGTGGGGGAGACGGATTGGGCTCAATCCTGAACATAACAAGGAAAAGCGGGGTCTGGAGCCGAGCAGCAGGGTGAGGGTCAGTGGACAGAAACATCAGGGGTAGGGGGCTCCGGATAAACCAATTTGACAGGATCCTTGCTGAAGGCAGGCGGGGGTCTCAGATATCAGCTGGGGGATGGCGGGGGATGAGGAATTTGATCAGGCATTGACAGTGATCAGATATCAATGATGGGGGATTCCCACGAAACTGACTTAACAGGAAGGATTCTTGCTCTTGAGGACAAGGACCAAGCACCAGGTCTAGTCAAAAAAAGGCTTAGAGAAGCCTGACTAAAGTTTGATGAAGAAGACAGTCTTTGTTACAGGACCCAGAAAACCCCCTGGAGGGTCCTTGCATTGAATGTCTTGCATTGAATGCTCGATCTTGTTACGTGGTTCACCGGGATAAA